TAAATTACTTCTTAACACTAGGGGGCTTTTTAAAATTGTTATTCCAGCACTCAGATACTCAGATACCTTATATCAATCAATCAATAAAAGGTACCTTGTCAGATAGATACGAAGCGGCAATGGCGATGAGGAGAAGTCGAATAAGGCTTCCGGTAACATCCCCAGCCGCCATCATGATGGTCGACCACTGCTGAGAGCCATACGAGAAGTTCACTGACGCCGTGTACACCGTCACCGTCGTCCTCAAAACGCTGTTCATGAAACTCAGCAAAAGTGTCGGACTGAAGACGTAGGATAATTCGTCTACCAGTTCCCCCAGTTTCATGTAATCCTCTCGATGATTCTCGAGAATCTCCCATTCTCGTGCAATCGGTGTCGACTGGAGCACCGATCCCCTGTGTTAAAGAATGCATCTCATGGGAATAATATTTTATTGGTTCCTATTCCACAATGGATATTTCATTACTTGAGGGTGCTGATGTGAGGGAATTTGCTTGCTCCTTGAAAGAGCCGAGTACTATTGCTGACATTCTTTGGTCTGCCTGCTGTTTTCAATCCTTCCAAGATATCCGAAGCTTCACACCGAAGTAACTCAGCGAGAAGGACGCAGAGAAAAATGCATTGGAATTCCGGAATGAAGGGTATTATATAATATACGTAAGAATGCAGAATTGAGAGGAAGGCTGTGATTAGTTCGGAAAAAGTGAAGTTTTTCACTTGTAGGAGATAAAAAACGAATGTGCCAATGAAGAAGATCAAAACAAGCACGATTACAGTAATGAGGAAGACAATGACTTTTCGGCAACGCCTGTATGCCCGTCCATCGGTTTCACGTCTCTTCAAGTAAACGTGAAGTCCATTGAAGAAGTGGGGAAACTTTCGTGCATTCCAGATCGAGGAGATGTAAACGCAGATCACCCATTCAGCGCTTGTCCACATATCTATCTGACCTGCCAGTTCGTCTGCGAGAGGGATTCGCGGTTGCATTATGTCATGGTCAGTATCATTCAGGTTCTGGTCTCTGGTGTCATTCTTGAAAATTGTCCAGATATAGAAGGCCAACAATACTGGCGTGAATAAAACGCTATAGAGAAACGCCAATGTACACCATCGGAATTCCGAATTCGGATTTCGACCGATATCTCTCACATTTTGGATGGGAAGAACTCCAATGAGTTTTCCGAAATATCCCAACGGGAGAAAAAGCCTGAGGAGTCTTCCACTACTTCCACCTCGAAGATCCTTCATGTCATTTCCCACTGCTGTATAATTTGAAAGATACCTGGAAATCACTGAGTTCCGTTTGGGATGAGACTAGAAGAAAAACTCTGCCGCTCACGTTCTATCTGTCGTTTCGAGGAGGTGTGGAAACACCTCTCAGCTCGCATTAAGCATCTCATCCACTTCAGATAGCGGTGTTTGAAGAGTGAGAAATATCTTCGAAAATCGATGCGTAGGCTCTTCTCTCTCTGCACTCCCGCTACCTGATACGATGTTTATCATCTCGATCCCATATTTGCATTCTGATATAGTGCAGGTCTCTGCTTTAGACTGTGCTGGTCTTGGAGTTTCTCAGAGTCAACGCCACTTAAAACCTCCCAAGTCGCACTTTATTGTCGGATTCAAGTAGGCTTAACGTTACCAATGCTGGTGCAAATTTGGTTGGCGATCCAACGTTGACTCAAAATGTAATTTTTCTGGATGTCTATGTCGCTCAAACTTTGGTTAGGATAGTGCTGTCTCCAAAAATTCTCTCTATCGAACTGAAATGGCGCCTAAATCGTCTATGTCGCGTGCCACTCTCTTATGCTACTGGAGTGAGTCTAAAGTACTTTCGCTGAGTTATCCGAACATATCCAACAGGCAGCATCGGAGAAGACTTGGATTTGCTAAACACGTTTATCTAATTATGTAATTCAGATCTGGCTATTCTGGTCCAGAGGAAAGTAGAATCAACTTGTGACAACGATAAGCAGAAGATTGGGATGTATATTGAAATTAAGAAAACAAATGTTCAATTTTAGAGCTCTGTTGCGCCTAAACTATAACGTGCAGGATGGTGCCATTGCGCAGGCATAACTAGTTGAGATGAGGAATACATTGGACCACTTACCAAATCTTGTCACAGGGGAGCTACCATATTGCCAATTGCCCTATTTCCCAGACATTTCACGGGAGAAATAAAATAAATTCGCTCCTAATGCGTCTGTATAGACCAATATGCTCCATGAAGGTGACCATAGTTTAGAGAAGGCATATACTGAAGCTTTCTTCTACAAATTTAATCAACCCTTTAATCCAAGTCAATCATTGGTGGCGCCCCTATGTCAAGATTTCTTAAGTGCTGGAAGCAAGAAATGGTTGCAGCCCTGTGGGAAAGATTCGGGAAGTGCTGGACTTGATTCCTCCTGTGTGCGATGACACCATCCAAAGTTTTGATTCGAATCAGCCCTATTTTAAATTGATTTTTTTCAGTGTCAAATGAAAGTGGATAAATTAGATTCGTTGCTCACATACGTTTAATTACGTCTCGAGAAGCTCCTGATGTCGAAGCGAAACACTTTTTTCGCTCATTGCTTGCACATAAGCTCAAATGACTTCTTTGGAAATGCGGAAGGACATGATAGCTCCCTGGTGCGAATGTGGCTGAAAGGATATCCTGCACCGCTAAAAAAAAATCCGAAAATTTTCAGATAAAGCCACAGAAATTTTGGAATTAGAATTTCATCACTGGGAATGTCAGTTAGAGTCTGGCTGAATAACTCAGTGTAAAATGTTCAATGTTATCCTAGAAAAGAGATTCGCTCAAATTTCCTGCAAATTTTGACATGCTACATCCTAAATTTTCTGGACTTTTTTTTACTGTGCAGTTACTGGAAAGCCAAGACACAGGCGAATGAAATGGATTTCTGGTGCTACTAGAGAGAGCATCACATTCGGAGACGCACGGTTTCCACTTTGATGTCATTTCCGGCAAAGGAAATGAAGGAAATATCCTTTTCAGTCAGACTGTCTCCGATGCGAAAAGGAATGTGGAATGCGGCGACTGGAATCTCAAGATCGCTAACGAAATCTCTTGTTCGTCGACGGCCGATTTTTCTTCGAAGTCTTCGAAGAATCAGAGGACAGACATGAAGTTGAAGTGAATCCCGATGAAAATAACGAGCTTCAAGTTACTTCAGCTGCCTTTTTGTAGTGGGTTGTACGTGCACTTTTTAGGTTCTTCCCACGGACTTTCAAACTGCATTCTTTCGAGGGGATTGGTAGGCACTTGACATAGGCATCTGATCTGTAGGAACCCTAACCAACGGAGTCCAGTAGCAGATCTGGTGGCGGGGAACGGAGGGGAGGAAGTCCTTGGGGGAAGTAATGTACCTCATATTAGGACGCAAAACTTTCAGGAAAGCGTTCTGACCAGAAAATCCCCCCTCCTCCTTCCCCACCTTCGCCACTGCCTGTGTGACATGAGACAGAATCCATGTGCCTGCGTACCAAACAGGCGTCTCTGCATCTTGATGGTACGAGCATGTTTACGTCACCTGCTTCTGCAACATTCGCTCATTCCATTGAGTTGTGAGGAAGGAGTCGGACTCCCATCGGAATGTGTCCCTCGAATGGGTGTCTGCTGTCGATCCGGTCACTCGGGCTCAAGGAGCACCGATGCAATGGTGGAGAGAAGTCGAGTTCAGTTAAGTCTTCTCTTTTCTCATACGTGCCATAGGCGTATAGATAGTCAAGTCATAGGTTTATTGAAGCAAATGAACAAAAACGCGAAAGAAGTTACTAATACAGACCGAGCTCGATTAACATTTATCGTTCAGAGGCATTCAAAAAATCACATATGAAATAAAGAGGCTTGAGGTACCACCAATTTTTTTCGAATCCTTCTAAACTTGAAGCCGTCTGGTCACAGAGCAGAGTCCCCCTATTATCCCATATTATATACTAGCGGCCTGCCACGCTGGCCGTCTGATGGGCGGAAATGTGAAAATCATCCAGGCCTACAACGGATCCTTGGAATAGGTCTAGGCCAGGGGTGTCAAACATATGACCCGCGGAGGTGGTTCATCCGGCCCGCCGTCGGTTCGTGAAATTTCCGCTTGGATTGACTCAGCACAAATTTCAATGAAAAATTATGGGTGTGGCCCGCAGACAAGTGGAGGTTTTATGATACAGACTAAAACGGGGCCTTAATGCTGTCCTTGGCTGTGTGGAGGAAAAAATATGTTAATGATACTGCTCTATTCATAGTTCCGTGTCAGGTGCTGATTTAAAAAAATGCTTAAGCTTACAATCTTATTCAGAAATAAAAAGAATTCAACTCTGCTTGCTATGTTTTTTCGAGTATTGGAAAAAATGAAGTACAGATTATTTCTGATTAAACTTTACACCAAGTTAGTATTTCTGCTAGGAATTTTCAGGTGCTGCAGAAGTTGAAAGTACAAATGTAAAAAAAAAAAAAACCTATTTTTGTGGAAACTGAAGGTCTTCCTCTGAAATGCGAAATGGGGGCCCTATCACGTAAATTATGACTGGAAAAAATTTTCATGGATGTCCTTCAAACGTCACCTAAAGTCGGGAAAGGTCATTGCAAGCAAAGACCAGGAGGATGTTAATGAACTATACCTCACGTGAAAACCTAAATACAACACAACTTTTCGTGCAGGAGCTTTACTGGAAATTTATTCCCAAAGCGGAATCTGCAGTGTGAGAAAACCACGAATATAGTTTTAGATGCAAAAATGTATCATAACTTTTCGGTTCTGTAGCCCCCTGTTTACATGTTCTCCATCCTTATTTACGAGTCTTACTGTCGAAAGGTGAAGTGTTAGTTCTCTCGCTCTGGATGGAGTGGCGCTGCGTGCTCTTGACCCACTGTTATACCCCTCCTCCATCCGCGACAACCATCACGAAAACTTGTCTTTTGAGTCTCGTGGACAATAGTGCCAGAGGAGGGATTTAGTGGAAGTGCGATAAGGACATTGTCATGCGGAAGTATATGGCATCCGTGGTTCATGCCCGCGCGCAGCACATGTCACATGGCTAGTGCGTGGTTGACCACCTGAGCGCAGAGGCCTCTTGCCTGCAAGATGTGGGCTTTGGCGTCTTCTACAAACACACCAATATGTACAAACATTATTGCTCCCATGGAGGAAGCAGGCGTAGCGCTAAAGCTCAGTATTTACGCATATGTCTCTTGAATTACGCAATGGTAGAACAGTATCTTGCCGTAGGGGTCAGGGTAATGCAGTCCATCGCAATTTGATGGATAAACTATCCTTATAGCCGATCTCATGCAGTGTAATGATAAGGCTTGTATGCCTCCTGATCTAATTTTTATTCTGTATGCATTCATTTGCCTCCAAGTCATGTGTTCCTTTGTAGGCTTTCACAGGTAAAAAAAAAAAAAACCCTGTGCCTTCCAATAGACGTATGAAAGCCATTGTTGAATCCTCTCCTGACAGGATTAGCTGCATCAGGGTGGTCACACATTGCAAATTTCGAGGCTGACTTAAGCCTACTGATGCCTTACCAGAAGCCTCATCCATCTTCTTATCTTCAGCATAACAAACATCATTTCGAAAACTGTGTTTGTAGGAGTACCACATGTTAAAAGCCCACCATTCTTCTCTATGAACAATTTTCCTTCTTCCCTCATTGGATATCATGTGTCTTGCATCTATGAACCTTCCTCATGCACACTGCAGCTCCCTTCATCATTGCATCATCACGCAGTGGAATCTCACATCTACACTGATAACATCTGGAGTGAGTGCAAAGGAATAGCGAGTATTGGAGTCAAAACATATTGAGTATTCCCTTTTTATACATTGTGCACAGATTCATGCATCTTCCCATGCATCAGGGTAACCCATCTCTTATTGCAGCATAACCATCTTGCAATTTTTAAGTATATTTTCTCACTTGTAGGCCTATGTGAATGGCCATAGATAAGTCCAGAAATTCTGACTCCCATTCATGCCACTCCAGAATACTTATTATCCTGCTCCAGAATTTATTATGGCATTTTGTACACCTGATTTATAGAGGGATCTGGGTGTGATTGCTATAGGACTAAGGTTCTGATCCTGTTATTCCCACTCAGGGAGTCTTATTCTCCATGGGAAGGAAATGAAACTCCACATATTTATTGATTCAATGTATGACTCCCCTTGGGATGGTGATGAATCCAGATCCCCAGAAGACCCCACTTCAAGGATGAAGAGCAGACTGTAGAGTGCATTGTCTGCATGGGGAGGTTTATAGGAACTGAAGATATACTCTTGGAAGCATTACAGAGGTCTCTGATGCCAAAGCAAATATAAAACTGCTCCTTATTTTTACATACAATAGGAACATGGCAGTGTTCATGGCTAAGAGCTTGATATACCTGCTTTCATGGATACTGATGCATATACTTTACTTTGCTGGGGCAGAACTCAGTGTGCATAAGGGTGTCAGTGTACACCTAATACACAATGCCTACAAGTAGTACAGAAAGGAAAGGAGAAGGTAAGATAGACAGATACATAAAAAATGTGCTTGAAGGCTTAGGCCTAGCTTGAAAAATTAGTTTTTGTTTTGCAAATCTATCTCTTTTCTGTTCTCTCATACCTGGCTAGTCATTATCTCTTTTATTCTTTTTCTTCTCCCCTTCTCACTTTTCTGTTTTTGCTCTCTTTTCTCATCCTTGAATTGTGGAGTATTACTGTGCTCTCCTCAGGTTTGCATTTTCATACCTATTCTGAGCTTTTTTTTATTATCAAAACCTCCAGGGAAATCCAGTTGAGATGAATCACCTCTGGTCAGTGTTTGACAATTTTGGTATAGATTAGAATATGATTTTTAGGTTTGCAAAATGCTTTTGATTTTTTTGCCAAGCTAGCATTAGATCTCTTTCATTTAATTTAAAATTGTTTTATCTTATTTTTTCATAAAAATCCACAAGAGCCACTTGTATGAGAATTTGATATCATGGTTTTGACATTGAAAGAAAGGAAGCCACAAGGCATATCATATTGGAATTTTCCAACTGTTTCAAATTTCTATTCGAAGTTTAGAATAACTGGCTAGGCCTGTAATGTACTTCTTTAGTGTTTGGCTGTGAAGTGAGTGAAGAAGAAAGGAGTTTTGCACTCTGGAATCAATTTCCATCTTAGCTTCTCTTGGATGCAGACCTTGATGTCCTAGTGCCTTTTCCTAGTGAAGTTTGACCTTGCTTAGGCAATGACTAGGTCTCTGAATGCAGTTATATAGTGTGAACATGTCATGAGGTATCTCGTTTTTTTAAATATATGTAGATTTTTTTAACTTGCAAGATTGGAAAGAAAGGCATTTCCTCATGTGACTGTGGTCTCTTCCAGAGCCCAAGTTAATAAGTAAATTTTATCAGATGGAACATGGAACTTTGACATAAATAATAAATATTGGTCTACTGATGTTCTGCAGGTTTATTACGACTTCATCATGGCAGAAGCAGAATCATCTTCCCTTGAGAGTCCTATGAAGATTGTTGTTGCAAAAGATCCTAAGCGATTTCGGCCTACTGGTGATAAGATCAAGGTCCTGAATCGTATCCCAGATGACATCCTCAATGATGCTGAGCTTCAGGCAGCCATGAAGTCTCTACCAGAGAATTACACCTTTGAAATTCCTAAGACAATATGGAAGATCAGGGAGGCAAAAGCCAAGTGTGTTGCATTGCAAATGCCAGAGGGACTTTTAATATTTGCCACAACCATTTCTGATATAATTCAGCATTTTACTGGTGCAGAGACTGTCATTATGGGTGATGTCACATATGGAGCTTGTTGTGTTGATGATTTCACAGCACGGCTCTTAGGTGCTGATTTTATGGTTCACTATGGGCACAGTTGCCTAATCCCAATTAATGTAACATCTGGCATTAAAATGCTCTATGTATTTGTGGAAATTCGAATTGATGTGGTCCATTTAATTGAGACAGTGAAATATAACTTCAAGAAAGGGACTAAGCTGATGCTGGTCAGCACAGTGCAGTTCTTGTCAGCTCTCCATGCTTTGAAGGCAGAACTGATGCAAGAGGGATATGAGGTACTTGTCCCACAGAGCAGGCCCTTATCTGCTGGAGAGGTTCTGGGATGTACTGCTCCTACTGTTTCTGCTGAAGATGCACAAGTTCTCCTCTATGTAGGGGATGGGAGATTCCATCTAGAAGCTGCCATGATTGCAAATCCATCACTGGAGGCATACAGGTATTCTCTAAGCTTGTGTAATTTCAATTTTTATTTTTTGCAAAAAACAGTTCTTTTTTTAAATATCATGAATTCTTCTGAACTGTACTCCTTCAGGTACGATCCCTATAGTCGAATACTATCTCGAGAAAGGTATGACCACAGCAAGATGAAGAGCATGCGATTACATTCTATTGAGCAGGCAGCTCAGGCTAAAACATTTGGACTCATTCTGGGAACACTTGGCCGACAAGGAAACCCCAAAGTTCTCCAAAACTTGGAGGTAGGCTTAAACTCACTTTCACGTAGGTCTATAGTGCTACACTTGCAACATTTTTGACTGCGTAAGCCTATCATTCTGAATTGCAAATCAGGAAGAGTAAATATTTGGAAATAGTGAGAATGTGAACATTAGAAATGTGCATGGACAGATTTCATCTGTAATGATGTCTTAGGTATCAACTTTGTCTCCTTGTGGAGAGGTAACTATTTTTCTCCAAAATGAGTCATCATGAGGTGCTGTCCTCTAAATGCTCACATGGAATTTTTTGGCATTGAACTTCTTGGCAACCACCCACTGTACTGCTAACATGATATGCTTTTCTCACAAAGGTCTCAATATTAGGGAGGGAAGGTGTGTCAAGGACCTTGTCAAATGCAGTGGTTGAATTGAATTACATGTTGAATTCATCAGAAGTGTCAGTTGGGAGACAAGGACCATAAATGAGATAGGGCACATTTTCTGCTGCACCCATGTCCTTCCCTACCTGCTGATATTTATAGTGGTATCAACTTTGCATGAATTTACTGTATATTTACCATACTACTGCCATTCATGTCAGTTGTGTGGAGTTAGACTATTATAAAGTTTCAAACTTCAGAAAGTCATATGTTGAGAATTACAGCTTCAAGGTTTTAATGTTGTTCAATCCCTGCTGAAGCATGAAGGAAATATCTTGGATGGCATGAGAAAAATGAGAATTTCAAGCATCATTAAGACATTATGAACCAAGTAGGAGAGCAGGAATGGTAGTAGATGAATTTTTGGCAATATTTGGCATTATTTTATGCTGAGAAAATCATTTATATGCCTTTTTGTACCTTTTTTGATTGTGTCACTATTTTTGTGATAGGACCAGTTGAAGGCACATGGGAAGGAGTGTATCATCTTCCTGATGTCAGAGATCTTTCCATCCAAGCTGGATCTGATCCCATCCATTGATGCGTGGGTGCAAGTAGCTTGTCCTCGCCTGTCCATTGACTGGGGTCATGCATTTTCACGTCCTCTCCTCACTCCCTATGAATGCATGGTTGCCCTTAAGACTACAGAGTGGAAAGACAACTACCCCATGGACTTCTATGCAAATGTTAGTCGTGGAAAGTGGACTCCAAACCACAAGTGTGAAAAGAATTCTCTCTGTGAGTGTGGAAAGGAGATTCCTTCATCAGTTTCATGATGAACGTTTTATCTGAAGAACCAGATTTGCTTTGATTTTGCTGCTCTTCAATCCATGAGTAGAAAGTAGTCAGAATGGAATTGCTGAGGGAGGCATTTTGCCATGCATTGCTTTCATGGGCAATGCCTCAGCTCTTAGATGATCTGTGTCATGGAAGGTTTCTGCTATGGACATGCTTAACATATATGAAGAGGAATGACTCAGAGTTTCCTTAAGTGTATTCCAGGAATCATGAAGTACATAAAAGAGGCAACTGTCCAGGAATTTCTGCAATACAAGACACTTGTGCCTGCTATTGAAGAGGCCATGAAACTCTTCTCTCTCAAATCTCCTGATGTTGTTCAACCTGTTAGGTCCTCAATCACAGTGGAGAAACATAATGGGTATGTATGTAACCCCTTTTTTCTTTTTCTTTCTCCTGCATTTTGAAAATGAGACTGTAAGTTCAGGTTCTTTTCTTTTCCAGATGGATGGGTGTCATGCCATCATACTATGGCAATGGAGAGATTTTTGCCACAAAAGTAGTCTGTGTTTATCCCAACAACAAGGAAAAAGGTCTTCCCACAATTCCTGCCTATATTTTGCTCATGGATGCTCGATGTGGCTCTCTTCTTGCTGTGAGCTTTTCAAGAACAAGCCCTAGACTGTAATCATGTGGATCATCTCAATATATGATGTGTGCTGATATTTATTATTAGGTAATGGAAGGAGAGACCATCACAGCAATGCGTACTGCTGCAGCTTCTGTAGTTGCAACCAAGCATCTGGCCAAATCAACCCAAGTTCTAGCTGTTATTGGTTCTGGCATTCAGGCTAATAATCACTGCCATGCTTTCAGAGAGATGTTTGACATAAAGCAGGTATGATAAAAAAAAGTTTCCATGGCTATGTCCCTCAGTTTCAGTTCTGATGTCCAGAAAATCCTAATATGATTTCAGAAACTGATTGCTTGCAATTGATTTTACATATAACTATGAAAGTTTGCATGTATGTTGCCTCACTCAAATACTTTTTCTTCCCATCCACTTCGTAAACTCAGAAAAATTAAAGCTCTAGGAAAAATATTTTATGTAGTTCATGACATTTTTTGTATGGAGTTGTTATAGCCCATTTCTTGGCTATCTAATATATACTTTGTGCCTTCTGGCATGATGGCCATATTGTTCTCAGCATTCAAAATATGAAAGAATAAAAAAACCTTTGAGTGGGACTATGTGCATGCATATATTCTTGGCTGTATATAAAACCAATTATGAGCAATCAGCTTCTGAAACCCCACCAGGAATTTTAGGAGAATAAGTTGACTTTCCTGGTGGATCTAACCAATTCAGGCAATGATTCTCAATGCTTAGTGAATTGAACTGAAAAGGAACATGGATCCTGAGGTCATCCATTGTAATCTTCAGATTCGGATTTGGAATCACAGAGCTGAGGGTGCCAAGGCATTGGCACAGAAGCTTGGTAAGGGGTCTATTCACTGTTCTTCGGTGAATGAAACAGTGAAAGGCAGTGATGTCATCATTACAGCCACTTCATCATCCAAGCCTCTACTGTTTAAGGCCTCAGTTCCTCCCCATGCTCACATCAATGGTTTTGCCCCTTATATCTTTCTTTTGCTCATCTTGTTAGTCCTCCTTCCTTGAGTCAAGAGTAATCTTTTTTCATTGTTAAATTTGGACAGCTGTTGGAGCAGCCCAGCCCACATGGCAGGAGTTGGATCCATACTTAGTGCAAATGAGTGACCTTTATGTGGACAGCAAGGAAGGAGCACTGAAGGAATCAGGTGATGTCATTCTCTCCTCTGCTTCCATCAAAGCAGAAATTGGAGAAGTTATTGCTGGGCTGTTCAATCCTGCACGAGATGGAACCATGCCCACCATCTATAAATCCCTTGGTATTGCATATTGAGTTTATAACTCCAGCTATTGTGATCAATTCTGGTAGGTTCTTAAAGAAGTTATTATTCCCATAGGTTTGGCAATACAAGATGCTGTGGCTGCCAAACTGGTCTACGAAGAGTGTTCCAAGAAGTCTGGTTCTGCTTTGTAATGTGTCATCAATTGTCATCCTGATGTGACTGTCTTCTGCAGTCCATCTTGGGGCATGAATGCCTCAAATTAATCCTTGGTACCATGGAACTGGTGCTAGATTAGAGCAAGTATTTTATAATTTACCAATCCTGAATATGTCTTAATTGGATTTTCATACATTCATGACCTCAGCTGTGATGGGAGGAAAGGTGCACTGTTTATGACTTTAACAAAAGTGCACTGACTGCTGCCTTTCTCACCTTTTTGTGCCTGCCAAAACTTTTAAGTGGGTTTCATTTCTTTCCTCATTCTCTTCCTGAATGGGTCCAATCTGTTTGATTGGCAGACTATCTCATATGCTCTCATATATTTTTTTATGTGGAATATATCTGTTGGAGTACAAAAGCTTTTTTTCCCTCAGCTACACCTTTAGGGCTTCCTTTCAAAAGAATTGAAGATTCCATACTCAGCAGACTATATTTAAATGTTCAATACCCTTCAAATTACATACATAGCAGTTTGTAGATCATTTGAGGAGCCTCCTAATAATGGGTTCTAAATCGTGGCATGATGGAACGTGCCCCACTAAAACATTCCCAACAAAAATAAAGACTAACTTTTCCTGATTCTTCACTCCCCAACAAAATATCCCCCAACTAAAGCAAAGTGAGGAAGTGAGGAAATACATTCCAGACACTAGGTATTCAGACCAACCCAACACACCGACCAAAAAACCCAAACTCAATCATATTAAACTCTGCACTTTTCCATTGATTTCCCATTTATCCTTCACTTTTGTTCACCTGCAGCCAGAGGGGGAGGGTGGATGGAAAGATTGTTATCTGTATTCCAGTTTTCAGAGGCTCAGTTAGAACCTGGTAAAAGAAGCAGTGTGTGTCACATGCACCTGACCGACAGTGCTAGTCAGCATAACCATGGAGCTACTGAAGTCACAGAAGGGCAGGGGCAAATTTTTGATCAAATTGTGTACTTTTACTCATCATTGTTTAAATGCATCGTGTGACACTTCGCAATTTGATGAAAGAAAGTGCGAAGCCAGTGCAAAAGCGTAAAAAGGAGCAGCTGTCACTGAGGTGATAGGTTGGCATGATCATCTACCAGATCCAGCCAAGGCTGAAATCATGAAACTAAAATCACTGCTAAAAAAGACTGCATTTGATAATGCTGGACCTCCAACCAGAATATTCCAGAACCATATCACTGATCTATCAAGTAAGAAGACACATGTTTTTCTTATACTGTTATCGCGAATCAGAGGATAAAGAAAAACACTTACACATGATGGGACTTTACCTCACAACCAATTGTTGGGATATTTCGAATGTGGAATGTATTTGGATATTTTTTTGTGGATTATTTTACCGGCATAGCATTTTGTCTGGAAATGACATGTTATTGGAAGGTTCCATCAGTTATTTTTTCTCTGTTTTATAGGATATTATGTAGGTGACCCATTCTAAACATAAGTTAATATTAAAATCAGTATATGAACAACTAGATGAAGCCCAGATGAAACTAGATGACACCAAAGCCTGATTTTCTCTCCAATATATTGGAGAGGAACGGGAAGAAATCCTATTGGATTCATTCCATCCCTTCCCCATGGGAAAATGCCTCAGGTGTTTTCCTGATTTTAATAATGTATTGTCAGTATTAAAAAAAAGTGCTACCTGCTTCGTTTTTGCAAAAAGCATATTGATATGCTGCTTTGCTTTGTCAAAAATAGGTTTAAAATTCATTAATGTTTCCTGTTATATTTTGGCACTTCAAGTGAGAGCCTCTCTTGCTGATAGCTGTTCATAATTTGAGGATAAGGATGCAAGGCTGTGAAGTTCCAAAATTGCTTCTCTACCAGTGAGTTACCAACTTCCCAGAATAACCTGTACCCTATGTGCAGAACATAAGCAGCATGAATGGGAGATCATTTCCAAGAGGTTTCTGAGTGCGAGAAACTATACCCATTAATGACTACATGCAATGAAGAATGTTTACCCCTTTCAATAAACCTATGAACTCCCATTCAATTTTCTCCTTGAAATTAGTCTCAAGCTGGGGGAAATTTGTGAATTATTCAGCAGGTGATCCTGCACTCCATGTAAACCCTACATCCTCATGGAAGCCCCCTCACTAGATGCCTTGTGTTGGGTAGGAAAGCGACGGAAGTTTGCATTTAGCTCCTATTTAGGGAGGGAATTAGAAGACAGGAATCACTTTTATTTGCGATATCAATAACCACATTGAGTTTGAGGCCTACTTGATAGGTCATGTTCCCTTCTCTACACTAGAATGCAAGCTCTGCACAAAGAGGAAGGTTCACCTTTCTCTTCCTTGTTATGGAATATTTAAATGCAACCAAATTTGGATCATCCTATTTTGTCATCGTGCATCCTGTCATCGAGAAATGACTCGTTGAATTCTGTTGAAATTCCTAGAAATCATGTCCTGTAAATTCGCTTGAGCTGCTGGCACATATTAACCTTTTCGTGTCTCATTTCCATTTCACTGTGTGCTAAAACTGAAGTCGAGGAGGGAAACTTACACGGCATCAGTTGTTCATATTCCTTGTCTTTCGCGTCATAGATATGACATGCGGAACTAATTCCATTCAGCTACTGATGTATTCTACCTATAAATAAATATTCTTTAAATTCATTTGAGTTACGCTACCTCCAATTTTTTTTTTTTGCTATTGAGTAAACGGAGATATGGTCTTTTGTGAAAACCCAAGATCAATACATTCGTGACAAGTGGTAACGACCGTCTTAGTGAAACGCCCGTTTCTTCATTTTCGATATCCATTTGTCAATCTCAGTGCGCAAGCAAAGTTGCAGTAACCCAAGATAACTCCAGGAGATTTCGACCTCTTCTCTCCCCTTCAGACGCAAAACTTCTTTCGTTTGAGATCGTTCATCCGGTGTGACCTACCGGACTGAAATCGATCAGGAGTGAAAGCCAACTTGGATCGAAGGATCCAATCACTTTACTGATGATACCAGCAACTTAAATTATCCCATACTCCGTTTGAAATAGCGTTGAAACGTTGCGAAGGCTCACGAGGGCGCGAGAATCCACTTGAAAACAGAGCCATCTTCGCACCCGACCACGAAATATCGCTTGCTTGGTGAGATTCCCATGCTGAGGATTTCTCCACTGCAGCCTTTCTCTTCCCGTTTCACCTCCCCGTCCCAGGACACAAGCTATTTTAAAGGGAAACAAAAACCATCCGGTTATCTTGAAAAGTAACCCACGTTGACGTGATGTCGAGACTGACCCTAAGAGCTTTGGAGACCCCAGCTGCCAGGTATTCTCCGCCCGGATTGACCACAACCAAAGCGTTTAACGGCAAGGCTTCTCCTTCCAGAGAAGTCTCTTGCAAGAGAATCCCCTCGTCGCAGTCCCAGACGCGAACGACACCGTCGTGACCACACGTCAGAACCTCCGAGGAGGAACCCGAAAAGACGGCACACGTGAAGGGAGTGTCTGACCTCAGCACCCGCATCGCCTGGCATCCCCTGCACAGGATACAACAATATGGAAGCATTCTACCACGGATAGATCATGTAATGATGCTTTCTCGATTCATTCAGTTCTTACTTATCGTACTGTCAATAAGTATATAGTAAAAGACATTTCGGTGCAGCACACAAACGAGCACGTATGAATATATGATGTAATGGGAAATGTGTTGATCCTTACTTGGTTTCCCAGATGACGGCACAACGATCGAGACCAGAAGTGACGAACAGTTCGTTGCCGTCCTGCACGGAGATGTACGTGATGGTCTGTCGATGAATTTTACTCGTGGATTCCAAGGCCAGGCGCCTCCTGGCATCCAGATTCCAAACGCTAACCTGAATTAGAAACGACAACTGAGGTAATGGGCCTATCATCACCAAGCTGGTCTTAAAATAATCACTCACGTATCCGTTGGTAGCGCCAGTGATGAACGTCTTCCCATGCGATAGGCTGCAAATGCAAGACACTGAAGTTGCGTGTGCAGAATCCAAGCAAAATACGAGTTTCCCCTTGACTTTGTCTAACACGCGGATGGAACCATCACTCCAACCTAAAGTGGATTGTACAGTATGACGTCAGCTTGGTCGATCTGATTGGTCACGTCGCCTCCCGCGTGATTTTCGGTGGAACCAATAGAAATAGATAAAAACGGGGGCGAGAGAACTGATTCATCACTTTTTAACCAGTCAGATCGCGGATTCTCTGCGTACGTTTCCACACGGCCCCGAGACAGCCTCGGTCCATGATCAATTGCTGTCATTCCAAAAATGCAGGTTATATGGCTCACCCGTGAAGAGGAGTGAAGGACTGAGGGGGCTGAAGGTGGCACAGATGCAAGACATATTTGGCAACTGAAAGGAAAACTTCACTTCTCCCGTGGACGAGTCCCACAGTCGAAGATCCTTCCCGCACGTGAGAAACCCGTTTGATTCCTCCCTTTGCACCAGGAAAATTCATCCTTCACTACAGAGTTCCAGGAGTTCCTCTCCTCCCATCATGCTACGAAGGGACGCATACCATGGGAAAGAGACGCAGGTGACCGGGGCTGTATGACCCGTGACCAAGGTTGTCGTTTCTCCTCTGTCCAAACTGAGCTTGTAGATGTTGGCGGACGTTGTCCCCAGGAAGACCTCTCGTTTCTCTTCGTTCGCGTGCAGCGATGTTATCGCTCCTTTCACGGTAAAACTTTCCACCTGCAATCCAGCAGGTTCCATCACCTCGAACAACGTATCGGTAGATCAAACATGTGGAAATTTCTTCACCTGAATAAGATGCATCTTCCTCTGCGGCTGCTGCAACTTTTCCCTGCAGACGAAAAGAGAACCGTCTCCTGTGCCAACGAGAAGCCGGTCCTCTCCCATCATCGCCATTGATTTCACACCTTAGAAACACAACATAATCGTCATGTCCCTTTAGTGCAGCAGAGAAGTCGTGAAGTACGATCCCCTGCATAAACTTGTGTGCTTTTAGTAACTCCTAAAGTTAAAATGGATTGGAGAAGAAAAGAAAAAATCGAGAAGAAAAAAAAAAAGAGTCGAGTTGAGGAATTTGGATCCATCCTGGTAATTCTGTATTCCTGAGGGACGTCGAAATAATCTCAGGTTAGTTTCAGTCGCTCTGGCTAATACCGAGTCATGTTCGTTTGGGGATCTGTTCTAATATTAGCTATCTTCGAGGAATGAAAGGGAAAATAAATGAAATTCCAAGCAAGTGCAAGTCTCATCCATGCACCGAACTCACGTAAAGTGCGGCAGTCATTAAAGAGTGATAATATAAAAGCAAGCCGTGGAAACATTTATGAAGGAAACTGTACGATGACAGGAAAAACCTTGGGCGAAAAACTGTATCTCCTTCTTCCCGACTCTGACTCCTATGAGAGCGAGCAAGAAGTGACACGTCCTCGGCTCGGAGGGAGACTCTTGTCTCAGGAGGAACTTGAGAATGTCTCCGCTCTGCGTCCCACAGTAGATGAATTCGTCTCCGCCCACGCCGTGCACCTGATGCCACAATTACACGTTACTCTTTCAATCGCGAGTCGCTGCTAAGTTTTGTTCGCATAAAGAGGACATTCATGAACTTCAAAGAGAGCGATAATCTCCATAGTGATTGCCAAGACCAGGACCAGATTGCCGAATATGTAAAGGTGACGTCTCGTGAGAGGGGACAAAAACAACTGAACATTTTTGAAAAAACATAAACATACGCCAAAATCGTACCAAACGTACGTATGATTTCATTGTGGGTCGTCCCCCCCCCCCTTCCCCTACCTCTCCTTCACGAGATTGTGCCAGGGGGGAGGGGTGGAACGGTTTCAGGTTTCAGGCTCCCTTACGCGCCTGAAACCTCTAATCCGGTCTTGGTCATGACGACACAATTAGAGACCATGTTGACAACCTTAGTTGCGTGTGACCATGTTTGAGCGGTTCCCACACTTCAGCACATGTCCACCTTTTTGAACTTATCGTTTTAAAATGAGTAAATTTAAAATTTTTTTCTAGCATGTCTCAACTCGATAATTAAACAAACTGGAATTTAAAAACGAGGAGAGATTTAAGATATGAATTGGGGTGAATGGAGAGAACGTGATGTACGGCGATTGAAGCGATGTCCCTTTGAAGACTGCCCAGATGAACGTCTTTGGATCGGAGTTGACGGGAGTCCTTGACAAAAAGCCAGGAAACGAGAAGACCCCGGGTTCCGGTCGCGAAAAACAGACTCGAATCTCTGAAATGCGTCTTGACGACCAGGGCGTGACCCGTCTGCGTCCCTCGTGCGACCGACCCCGCTGTAAATACCCATCCGATCACGCTCGCAAGTATCCCCCACTTCTAATACAAGGAATGGAGGGCGCGTGGATACAGCAGAGCAAGGTGGCGCTTGGGATGTGAAAGACGGCCAGGTTGTTATCGTCTCGACCTCCGATGGAAAAGAGGAGCTGGTCATCGGAGGATATATCCATGTGTTGCACCTTCCCTAGGTGGAGTTTGTGTCGCCCCACCACCTCTCTCTTCTCGTAATCCCACACTACCACTTCACACTGCCCAATAATAATTAAAAAATAAGACCAATACTCACAAAAGTTTCTGCAGAAATTACTGGTAAGATGCTGTTCAGGCAAGGTTATGAGAGCGTTCCGTACACTGTAAGTCTATGGAAATGCGAAGTTCTGACCTTCTCGTGGGAATGACGGGAATCACCGGAAGCCAGGAAGAGGCCAGACCGCGAAAGGATGAGACAAGTCACCGGTTTCCGGTGAGCCTTGAGGAACGCCGAGCCTTTTCCCCCCCCTTTCAATGCGATGCTATCCCCCTGGACATACACCAACGTCCCATCCCTCCCGTGGCTGTAGACGCATCGCTCCACTTCGCCTCCTTGTTGCGTGATGGATCGAGGAAAGCAGTGTATCCAATTTTTACTTAATGATTAAGGAGAGGGGGAAATTGTTGAAAATGGGAAGCGGGAGACTCACGGGAGAAGCCGGCATACCAGGACGGCTGCATCTTTCAGGATTGTTGTCGTTTCCATGGCAACCTTGGGCGTCCCCCCGTTGCCATGACCACTGAGAGAGAGAGATGCTCACCACATCTCTATGCCGCGCCTTATCCTCGACAGAGTTGCGCAGCATTTTAGTCTCTTTCCCCCCCATAAATATAAAGAACTACCTGAAGAAACGAAGAGCTGTGACAAGTGACATGTTAGTGGCCGGAGGCAAGCTCTAATTCTGTCGACCCAACAGTGATCATGTTGCACGCGAAGTGAAATATGACCGCGAAAATGAAGACCTGTCGATTTCTTCGTGGAGAATGGTAACCAATGCGAAATCGAAGCCCTCTTGGGGAAATTACTTCATTCTCGTATTCAAGTACGCACTATCGATGGCATCTCACTGAATTCCCCTCACCCTTTTGTTCTTTTCTTTAAGAAGGCACCGCCCGACCTCAAATCAGCCTAAAATGGGGGAAATAAACCAGACATATCCCCCCCCCCCCCCAAAAAAAAAAAAAAAAGGCGGGGGGGGCCGACAAATGGATATCGAAAATGAAGAAACGGGCGTTTCACTAAGACGGTCGTTACCACTTGTCACGAATGTATTGATCTTGGGTTTTCACAAAAGACCATATCTCCGTTTACTCAATAGCAAAAAAAAAAGACGAGGCAGTCAGCTCTTTTCCGGAAACCTGAAAGCAAGTGGCCCGAGGCCACTTCGGGAGGGTGCGGGGTCTGGGCAAGGTTACTTCAGGGTCTGGGACAGAAGGGAGATTCTCACTACCAGTCATTCCTTCTCGTCGCTTAGCTGTCAGTATTTCGCCTCCCTCGCAGTCACCATATCCGCGTTCAGTGAGTTCATTGGTTCAGTTATCCGCTATCCTGTAGAAGTTAAGGTGCTTCTTGCCGTCTACAAATTCTCATCTCTTCAGGCTTGACTAAGTCCTGAGCCCGTCCGTGCATGTTTGCTCTCTTTTTCTGCATATATGAATATCGGAGGACATGATAGAGCACATATTACTATAGACATCATAAATACTATTCAGAAGTTCTGCATGATTACTTTTTCTGAAGCTTAGGCGTCTTTGATGAATAGATATGCTTCGTTCAAGAAATTTCTTAAAAAGAGATTGAGTTTTCGGAGACTGCTACCTATTACCGAAGACCATTTCCGTGTAAGCAACAGTTGTCATTAGCATTGATACTGCTCTTTATCGTAAAGCATTTGAACTAAATCTGTAGAGAAATAAAGCAAAAAATCTAGAAAGAAGGAAAAGGGATTTGGTCACAGGCCAAATCCAAAAGTCACCTGGTCCCCTTTTTCTTTCCCCTTCCTGTTGCCCTCCGCATAAGAACGCGATTCATTCCTATCAGTCTACGTCCTCTTGCATTGAGGCCGGTTATTGAGAGAGGACTCGAATTTTCCTCCTCGTTGGCCCGTGCTGGCCGTGCGCTCTCCTGTACGTTTCGTATTTCCGCTCCTCCGAAAGTTCCTGAAGCCGTATTCTATTAAAGTCTTGAACTTAGTTGAAGCAAATTGCTCAACCTCAACCATGCACTTGAGTGGGGCAAATACCAGCTAGGCAACTTGCTAAGAGGAAAATCGTGCTTGAGAACATAATAGAATACGGACCCTGGTCCGAGACTTGTCGAGCCGATCCATTTGGTTGTGTTCCTTCCCCCCGCTCTTTCCCAATGTTTCGTTTCTCCGTTTCCGTCAATTGTTCTACAGTTTAATCCTGTAGTTTAATTCTGCCTATTCGTTAATAACTGCTTTGCAACAAGTATTCTTGATGCAGACCAAGTGAAATTTCTGCTCTCGAATTCTAAATTTCTTCATGCCTCCCTGGCCAATGGCGTACCCAAGGGACCCTATGGGTGTCATAACTAGGGTTGCCACCCGTTCATAATTAGTATGGACAGTTCATATTTCAGATGCAATGTCCAGTACGGACACTACTTCATCCATACTTTAAACCTGTTAAGATTTTTTTAAGTTAAAACTTAATAGCAGCGAATACCACTGTTTTCTTCGAGTCAGAGTAGTATGCCACACTCTTATAACATCAATTGGTATTTTGGCTAAAGGTTACTGTAGGTATTTGCAGCAGAACCACAAATGCAAGTATACTTCATATATTTGTCCATATGTCCATATTTTGCTAATTTCAAAGGTGAGTCCCTGGTCATAATCCCCTCTTTGGGATGAATTTTACAGGTTCGATTCGCAAAAATTTTTACATTTGGCCATGTATGCAGGGGTGGGTAAAAAATTTTTCATGTCAACCTCCCCCAAAGGGATTTTCTGGGCACGCTACTGTCCCTGGCGAATCCCGAACAATTCCACCAACACTACCGCCATCTAGTTAAATAGGACCTGACATGACACGACCTTCCACGGTTTTCGAACCCGAATTGCTCATGATTTTTTAATCTGGGTTATTCTCGCGCTTTTGCTGTCGACTGAGTGCCACGGGAAGCCGTAACAAATGAGGTTGAGGGCTTCATCTGCACATTGCACTGCCCATTTCTTCTTCGTTTCCTCAGATACACTCGATTCTCCGGAGGCGCCTAGATTCAGGATTAAGAGGAGCCGTTCTCGAGTTTCCGGATTTACTTTTGCCAACCTATCCTCTCCCCTTGGCGCTGTTGTCAGTAGTGCTTAAGAGAAATCTAGAAACTGCATAATCTCTAAATAAGAGGTATACATATGAAGTATAACAATGGTATATGCAAGATCCTTCACGTCGGTCGCTGGCACTAGTTTAACCCCATTCAGAGTGTTGCATGCAATTCTGGATATCTGCAAACAAAAGCGACATAGCGGCGTCCGCGAAGGTTCGAAGGTGGCCTACCAAAGTGATCAAGAAGGTGCGCGGACTCTCGTATGCGTCGTTTGGAAGTACTTTAACTCGATTCGCTCGAGCAAAGGTTAACAAGCGGGGACCTCATCTAGGGTTTTAAGATAAAGGAAATCGACAACGAGAAGCACGATCACTGAGCTAGCACGATGGGTTTTGGAAGGCAAGTCGAACGAAGGGGTATAGGTTCAAGCTGCGGAAGCCTCAAGTGAGACTCGGGTCGCGGAATAACTTTTCCACTTGTAGGGTGGTTAATGCGTGTAATGCGTTTGACAATCATGTAGTGGCTGCCCTTTCCATGACGAGCTTTTAGAGGTGAGATGCCTTCGCAGAAAAAGGGAAAAAGGAAACAAAAGTAGCACATTAAGTAACTAGAACTAGAGATAAGATCGTAGTGCTTCCGCTAACATATTTAATCTGGATAGGCCTAGCACGTTTTTTTAAATGAACGCTCGACCTCGTCTCTGCATATAATGAACATAGATGCCTCCTGACATCCCTGCATGAATCTCGAACTTTTTTCGCTTTGAAATTCCTCATCACAGTTGCCGGATATAATGTTAGAGTTTTGTCTGATAGGAAAGTAATTCTGCTTCGATATTGGTACCTGTAAGTCCTGTTTACAGTCTGATACGTTTTTGGTGCTGAGTTCATGAGATGAAATGAGACTGAAGCAGTGGTTAGCGGCGACTGGTCCACGCGTCCCAATTATAGACTTACCTCCATGAACATTCTTGACTCGCACTTCCTGTCAGTGTGAGGACGTGGAGGGGAGGCCGTTGGGACTGTCAGGCAGGCTTTACCTCTGCTTCTATCTGTGAAACAGGAGACTAGATCCTAATAGCATCATCTTCTGCGGACAACTGCTGTATCAAAAGCAGTGTGACAAACGAACGACGATTGCGTCCAACGTCGACTTGAACTTGGGAAGCAGTGAGGCAGTCTGCCCACTTGTCCTCGTTCATATAGTTCAAGAAACTCGAGATAGACCATTCTTAGGCCTAATTGGCTTATAACGAAGGTTTTATACTCATTTGGCTGAAAAAGGTGAGCCCAGACCGTTTCTGAAGACAATCTAGGCTTTACCTAAGTATTAATTCCCTGTGCCTACTCAGCTTTGCGATTAACTGTTTATCTTGCTATTTATAATCATTCATGAATATATAAAGATTAGGTCAACTCATTAGATGCTCTTGATAGGTAAGGGAGAAAGAAAGGGGAAAAGCTTTTAAAATTTTCAGTGTCAGGATTCAATGCTATATTTCATGCTCTAATTACCTAAGCCTAAATGGAGGAATTGACCTTGTTCACCAGTGAATTTGATGTACAACTAAAACATGGGAGAAGGATGAGTACTCTATTTGTCCGTGTTTCACCTGACCGTTGAAGCATGATTATGCATTTCCTTGCTGACTCCATAGCTTATGATTAAGTCTTGTTTTTAAAATGAGGTTTGCATCTTCTGAAAAGAGTTTTTGGTGTACTTGCTTATCTAGCCTCAGTCTGAAGTTGAGTTCTCACGTGGATGTCCAGTACATCCTCATGGAATGACCAAGGACCATCGTCTAATTCATTGCTGGTTGGCAGAGGATTCATCTTCAACCATAGGTCTGTCTCTTATACTACCACTTGAGAATAGGCGTAGGGCTACTCTTGAAAAATGTTTTCACCTAATTTTTGCTCTGAACTGCTCAAGAGTCTGTTAACTATTGAATATCATATGTGTATTTCTCTCTTGTACATGATTTTAAAATTTCATTTATTTTCAAAATATTCTGGGAGATGCCTTAACTTAGAAGTTGTAGGGTCTGATGTACATAAGCAAGCAAGCAAATGCAAGCTCAACAAACAAATGTCAATATATCAATACACATCAATATTTTCATGGTATCATAAGATTCCTATCTGTTTTAAATTTGCGAGGTTTTTGCTTCCCTGAGAAGCTGATAGTCCATAATCATGTGGACCATTACTACACACCTGAGTTCTTGTGATGAAAACCCATTCTACCAGCTCTGCTTCTGAGTGGCTGTGATCTTGCATTGATAGAATCTGATTACTCAGCAATGCCTGCTGTAATTTGTACTTAGTGGTCTTCATTCCCAGCTATTCAAATCAGTTGTGTTTTTTTTAAATCTAAGCTGGCAAGAGCA